GACGGCTCGGATTTTCGTATTAGGGCACTTAGTTCCGGTTCCGGTTTAAATACAGTGTAAACTCCATGTAACGACTTACGATTTAACGACGCACTCTATAAAGTGTCGAATTAAATTGGCTTTGGTTGGTTTCGCTTGTCTTCCATACAATGATAAACTTTACATAGCATTACACCTACTCTGAATAACAATTGAGTAATAAAGTACTTTTAAATTAGTAAAAACTGCGCAGCTGTGTACGTTCTTTTGTCGCTTTATTATCCTAGCCCGCAATAAACTTGACTGTCGGCATCATGCCGAACTTTCTAAGAAAACCGTTCTTTTGTTTACAAATTGGGAATGCTTGCACCTGTAGACTGTTGTTGACCATGACTAATAAGTAGGAGTCTCTCCATTTAACGACAACTCTCTATAACGCTATCAACACAGTCCCTTCAGTGTCGTTATATAGAGTTTACACTGTATTGAGTTTTTATACCGTGTAGTTCTCAGCGACAGTGCTGCCGCCAGTCTTCAAAATGGCTACATTTTAATTGCTGGTAATCATTGGACCGCCAATTCCAGCTGATGATTGAATCACTTGTGAGCCATCCGAGCCACCATAAAACCTCCATCCAACTATACAAACTAAAACTACGTCCAAATAAATCCATTAAATTTTTTCTACAAAAATATCGAATATACTTTGTACTTCTTATAAAACTTTCCACATGGAATGTTCAAAATCACACTCTTATATAAATACGATACGTAATTTTGTAAAAATTTCACCACTAGCCGTCACTACGCTATACTTAATACTACATTGTTCATTTCTGACAAATTAACAGAAACATTTCAACTTATACATTCTATACAATTAAAATACTAATTGAGATATTTAAACGTATTACAAAAGACAATTAATTGTGCACTGAAGAATTGTCCTTTGGTCTTGTCTTTGAATATATGTACATACAATAATATACGGCGAACCAAATTAGTCGATTCCAAAAGTATCTAGGAGATAATTCAATAGGCTCAAACTTAAGATCTCTTGTCTATGGGGCCGTTCAAGTATTACGTAAGCCCTATGGGGGGGACTGCATTTTTGAGGATTCCTCAAGAGTTTTATCCCACAAGAGGATGGGGGGGGGGATAAATTCCAGTAAATCTGCTTACGCAATACGTACGTGCGGGCCCCTATTATAAAATAAATTTGAAGGAGGAAAGGATAAATCTGTATCGCATAATACGTAATAGAATATTTACGTATAGATTGTTTGGATATTTCGTATTTTGAAATTAAAGAACAAATAAATCATTTTAGATAGTGTATATGTCGCAGCCAACTAGCTTAATAAGCCGTTCAATTAATAGCCTAGCTTTTTAACTGAACAGCCCCGTTTAACTAGCGGCCTGAAAGATATTCAGCCGTAGCGTTTGTAACATTTAATTAGATGACTGGCCAGCTTATTTAATGTTACATAATATAAGAGAAAATTAAGATAATGCTTAGGCCATTCTTACGATAGAATGACCATGTGGCAGAAATAAAAAATATGAATCATCTGATTTAAAAATATATCTTTAAAAAATAAACTGCTTGAGTCAGTCACAGCTTAATTCACATTATTATTGTCACTGCACTCTTCCATTGTACTGGTTGTTTTTCATTAAACTTTGAACACTATCAAAGTTATGGTTTGCCGACGCCATATTGACAGTTTTTGAGTTTGAGAGTGGCAGAAAGTGGAACTAAATTTAAATTAACAGTCTAGGCAAGTAATGAAACGTTATCGATCCAAGTCATCTGCCTACCTGTTTGATCAACTGGCTGAATATCTTTCAGGCCGCTAGGTAAACGCGCTATTTAGTTAGAGGCCAGGCTGTTGATTTAACGGCTAATTAAGCTAGTTGGCTGCGATATAAATATGCAATTATTGCTAATACATTAACAATTGAAGTGTGAGTATTGTTTGCAAAATAAAATCTAACTCAAAATGTAACTCAGAAATCGGTATACCGATACCGACTGTATTGCGAATTTAATAAATGAATAATTCCTGCACTTGGTACTTTAAAGATTTCCTAATTGAATAACTGGAGTCGACTAATTTTAATTTTCCTGAACATTATCAGTAATGAGATTTGCGAATAGCCATAACTAAAGCCATTGAAAAATATAAAAAAATACGTCTTTACGTCACACAGTTTATTGCATACGTTAAATCGATAAATCACGTAATGGTACCTATAATGCTAATTCTGGCGAAAACCAACCTAAACTGTTTGCTAATGTAAAAAAAATCAGCTTACCACTTAGATACTGTTGAATACCAACCTTTACACATAATTGACTCTTCCGAGACGTTTTTAGTCTAGTTAAGATTGCCACATCAGAATTAGATTGATTAAAAACGATGGAAATATAGTGTGTTTATACACAATGACATATAGGGTTTATATGACATTTAATTCAATATTATGTTATTAATATATATTTTCTTTGAAATCAAGCGTTTTCGTCTACAACTAAAACAATTGTATATACAAAATGGAATTAAAACTTACGTACAAAAATTTTACGTTTATTAAAAAAAATATATCCAATTGAATTCATCGTAAATCTTGTTCTTAATGAAGGTAGTCAAAAAAGTCTTTAAATTTAAAAAAAAGCCGTATTTAGAAATCAAGAAATTCCAGTCTTGGACTTACAGTTTAGAGATTAGTTTGAAAATGTTTACCAGATTTAAGTATCACGTTATTATCAGATGTTCATTATACATTTCAGCATTGGCTGAAAAACACGGTTCGCTTAAGCTATTTGAAAAGAGTTTTACTCCAGTGTAATCCCAGGAATCAAAACTAGTCTTTCTGGATAAAAGTTTACTGATTGCTAAGCAAGAGGTCTGACAAAAATTCTATTATCAACCCAATAGAATTACCGAAAAACGTAATTTCTCTTGATATTTCGTATATACGTATATTTTAACACCAAAAAACATATCTTCCGACAAAAAATTGTAATAAATTAATTAAAATAAATTCGTGTCTGAATCTGTATTGTTATAAATATTCCCATGGTATGGTTTCATATAAATCAAGACATTAACAATTATCTTTTTAATGCTAATCATAATCTTAATTGTCTGTGATCTAATGATAAAGGTTAAGCGGTTATTTCAGTATAATATATAAAATGGTTTATTAAATTTACGTTAAAATATATTATATACTTTGATTTTTAATTCCGTAGAATTCTGACAGCTATCATTTTTTGACATGTCAGAGATTACAAACCTTTTTGGCCGGGCACATTTTTCAATTTCAATACGAGTCTGATCATCTGACTCTATACAAACATTTTATTTGTTAGTTTATTAAGTGAGGTGCTCAACGTTAAAAGTGGTTTTACGGCGACTGATAATTACGTCCCTTTTCGTCAAACAGTAAAAAACGCACAAGTAAAGATAACATTTTATTTTTTAATAAGGTTTACTAAACCTGGAATTGGTAGGCAGTGATGCTAGCTAAAGAATAAAATAAATAAATTAAAGTTAATTCGATATATTGTTCGTGATATTGAAATATTTGTTATTTTTGTATTAGGCCACTTGACTAAGTAAATACTAAGATTTACCTTTATGTAGGTAAAACATAAAAAATACATAGCATTTTATTTGATTGCTCTAAAATGGGTCAAATTTAGTCCCTTTTACGGTGGAGAACATTTTCGTAGCAAAATTTGTGAAATGTCAGAATTCTACGGAATTAAAAATCAGAGTATAGGCATGTCCGTTATCAAATATTAATCACACGAGAAGTATGTAAAACGGAAGTTTAACAGGCTATTTGACAAGATTTAAAAACCATTTCAGATTATCTATTAGACTATAGATAAAAAATTGTTAAAATGGCTTTAACATTCATAGATTACAAAACCCGCTAAAACGCTAGGCAAGATGGCGTCGCACATGATCATATGTACTTTGTTAGTTATCACGTAAACAAACGTCAAGTTTTATAAGTGTTTAATATTTTAAATTATACATATATTTCGATCAAAATCAGTATCCGACGAAATTAAAGTCCAAGACAGTGTTAGGAGGTAGACAAAGAAAAGACGCCATAGTCGATTCGACTAATCTGTGACCGTTTTGTGTCATTATTGATGATTCCATACGTCAACGTATGAAATCATATTTAGCTAATCATGGATTTATTTGATAAAAAATATATTTAATAACGGATTATTCTAAATAACATTTATAGCCTTTGGACTTTAAGATTTCTCGTATGTGTGCAGTCCGTTTGGCCTTCCGTTTTACATTATCCACCTGAAGTTTACATGAACAAAATTGCAACAAAAATAAGCGTAAAATATGCCTGTCAAGAAATATCTAGTGACGGATATATCGCAGACAAAAATTGATTCGAATCTTATACACATAAAAATTACATAAGAATCTCAGAGGTAAATGCCAAGTACCAACATACAGCCTTAAAATTACATTACACACTGACAGGTTTGTTTGACACTTAGAAGCTAGATTATCTCTGGGCGAATTGCCTTATCCCAGTACTAATTTCCATCGTACATTTTTTTTATCTACACCCTCTAGATTACACATTTGCCTTAGTATATGTAAAGCAACGGTATATTTACCTTTTTTCAAACTGTCAAAATAAACATTTCATATATGGCAATGACATTTTCTCACAATTTGTCAGGTGACCATTTTCATACAATCATTTGACGTTAGTGGGTTACACTTAGTCTAGCTAAAAGTGATTTTGCCTTAGCCCCAGTGTATTGAAAAAGTGGATTAAAGCTAGCTTCCAGCCTCCAAACTTGTCAGTAGCCTTAGGTTTTTCCAATACGTCACAAACAATTGACAATCAAAATGTCAATGTCACATTTGACAGGTTAATTTTGATTTGCGATTTGGAATGCCCAAGGCACTAAACTACACTCACCGCAGACGTTCTTTGGATGAACAGCATCAGGAAATCCTGTGTTATTGAATATTGTCTGGTAGTCTGTGCGTATCATGGTGCCAGGCCTGTTCTGGTCGCATGACGTCATCGACTGGCGCACAGAGCGGCCGCGGGCCTGGTTCTGGCGTATAGGTGAATGTAAGGCCAGTGGCGTATATGATCCCGTCGTTTCTTACTAGTGATACTGGTACCTGAAGAAAATTATCTTTAAATCACGCGACATTTACCAACCAACAATATTGTGCTATTTTTCTTAAAAGAAAATTCATGATTTATTATTTATATCCCGCAAAGTATAGCTTAAAAATCCTATACCCAAACGACTTAATCTATTTTGATAATTTTTTGTGTAGTAGGTAGTCTCCTAAATGTATATATGGAATTTCCCCGATAAAGAACAGCCCCAACAGAGAGTGAGCCGTCCATCCAGCCAGATCAGAAAAATCACGCGTCCTACCTGAGTTGGCTGCCGCACCCAAAGCCACTGTCCCCTGAACTGCGATATATCCGGCACTACGCAGAGCATGGACTCAGCGCATCGGTACATTGTCTCTGCTTCCACGTCTCCGAACCACACCTGCAGAGATGGCGTGAAGTTGTCACCGGCGAGTTCTAACATGGCTACGTCTCCGCCACCGTTTAGATTCAATGAGTGGACTAGCGGAACAGGTGTTACTGGAGATCTAGGAACAAAAGATTTAAGATTTTATTTATACACACTTCGTTGCAATAAAAATAAAAGAAACACAAATAACACAATACATAAAATTATAAGGGATGCAACGGGCGCCCGCGGCCGGCCGGCGATGCTAATAAGCGATCTCTTCCAGGCAACCCTAGTAAGAGAAAAACTAAAAAAAGCAACATGATGAGTGCAAGGAGTGCAGAACCAAATGTTATATTAAAAAAAATAGAACCTTAATCTAAAGTAATACAACAAAAATATTAATAACAAACTAAAAACTTAAAAGCTTATCTTATAGATTCATGAACAGCGAATAGTGATTTTAAGTGCGAACGAACCTCATTTGTTTCATAATTTTTGTTGGTAATATCGTACGAATCTTAGTTTAGGTATTATTTTGTTATTCTAGCGTAAAGAAAGCGTTTGTTTGATATCTTAATAAGCAAGAAGTATGTAAAACCAATGGGAAATAGTTTGGGCAGCGTGTAATATAAACTAATTACTAAACGAAACCACGTTTTTTATACAGGAGGCTAATTATTAGATGCCGCCGCCCATGGACACTCACAAAAGCTTCGCAAGTGCGTTGCCGGCTTTTTACCTACATACAGTCAAAACCGTTTACGACGACATCGTTTAGAACAACATACCGGTTATTTTGAAAAAATCAAAGGTCCCGGCTGAATTCTATTGTATAAGGTACTTAATAACAACGTCATCGGCTGTTACGACTATCGGTTTTTACGACCAAATATGAGTAGTCCCTTCGATGTCGTTATAACAGATTTTGACTGCACATTGCTCCTATATATACGTATACCGTTTGAGCTGCTTAATTAACTGATATCGTATTGCATAAATATATATATAATTCGCGTTTATATCCGTTAACTATCGTATTCCAAACTGAAATTTCTACTAATATCTAAATATAAAACAAAACACTAAAGTTGAATTAAGGTCGTTGCCTAACATATGTTATAGTAACTCGATATTCCCATGTGTACTTGATGATACGATACATGTAATTAATATTTATACGGAAACCGGCCAATTGAAGTAGATAAATATATTTAAAAAATTGTGTTGTAAAATTTAATTTATATCGTCACTCTTTTTTCCCGAAGGTGTAGGCAGAGACCACGGATCTCCACTTTCTACGGATATCTCTCGCTTCATCTACCTTCATGACATTCACCATGCGTGCTCGTCATGGGTACTTTTAACTTGTACTCTGGATTTGGTTCGGGTACAAGGCCTACCTACACAACCCGACTTCACCATCCACGTTTGCCTAATTCTACCTGTCAACCACTTCTCACTCATCCGTTCTACAAGGCCCAACCACTTGAGCATTCCCTTTCGTATCCCTGTCTCTACGTCTTCTTTTAACCCACCAGCTCACGTATCTCACTATGACTTATCCTATGACATAATGTCACACATACTTAACGCTCTCATTTCCACGCCATTTGTTCTACTCTCTTTCTCTGCCAAATTCTTAATATGAAATATATTTTTATTATTTTTGTAAAGGTTTTTTGGTTTTACTTTCTGTTACTTCATTTGTTTTTGCACAAAGACGCAGATGTATATTTATTTCCTTGACGTAATTATCGGACCGCTTAGGAAGTAAATACTATATTATTACTGTACTTGTGTACAACAATCATCAATCCTCTACTATTTCGAATAAGAGGTTACGATTATAACGACCTTTTCGTATTAATTGGTTCTTAAACGTAGACCAGTAGTTTTTCCAGCGAACCCCTTATTACAGCAATCCTACTGATATTATAAACGCGAAAGTTTATTTGTTGGCAATTGTTTTTACTGATAGCAGCGGGAACTCCTTGATGCAACTTCACGTACACTTGCGGGTACGCGTACCACTAATTGGGAAACTCTGACGTAGACAAAACGATTACCAAAATATCTACGAACACACAAATTTATCCAGTTAAAACGCGTTCTACTTTTGATACTATGGCAAGGCTGTATATAAGATTAAAAAAATAATTTTAACAATTGTAATAAATTCAATTTTAATCTGGAACAACTATGTCTTTGTTTTTTTAAAACTTTACGTGAATAATTAGTTAAGAAAAGCTAGCTTCCAACGAATTATTAAGTTTCATAGGCAATCAAATTCCGTGTCTTGCGTCTCGATCAAGAGAATTAAATTTTTTGGTATGTTAATCTAACATACAAGGTACCAAACATGTACAGTTTAAAGCAGTAATGATTACCTAACTTAATCTTTATCAGCAAGGGATGATGAATAAGAATTCTAAACTATATGTTCACTCTTGCCAGAAGGAAGTCCCAGGCCACAGTACATACGTATATGAACTATTAGGATAATCTAAGCCCTGTTTATTGGCGTGAGAGTAGAAAATGTTTGGCTTTCGATAGCAATTGAATGTCCCCTCATATCATTCAAGTATCATTACGTGTTTGCCAATGCGTTTGATAGTGTGGTCAAAGTTTGGTGAATGTTATCGATTCATTGTCAACAATTTAGTGATTAACACTAACGTTGTATGTATGTAACTAACTTTCTCAATAACGTCTAATAAATACGCGTATATAAAGGTACAATGAAAAGAAATTGCGCCTGTAACGATAAATACCGAACCTAAATGAAATAAACTCCAAATAGATATTATCTTTGGTTTACACTACAAATCTGTGGTTCTGGGGCTCAGGTTGCATATTTCATTTTATAATTTATAGGTTGGATCATATATATGTCATTTGTTTTTTTATGACATGTATGTGTAGGTTTCCTTATGATTAGCCTTCATTCTACGGTGAATTAAGTATATAGAGAAAAATCCATTAGCGGTGATATAGGACGTGATACGAACGCACGACCACAGGGTCGAGTGTTGCTCACTTAAGCCATTAGACGAGCTCTACACTCAGAAATAAATAAATTGTTTGGATAACGACATGATTTTTCCTATTCACGTATTTTCTTAGCGACATTAAATTAATAATATTGTTTAAAACTTAATTAAATATTCAAATAGCCGCGACTATTTTTGACAGATTTTATCGAATTATGGATGTGGTTACCGGTTCGCAATTATTGATAACGACTTCCGGGTAATCTATTCAAAGTTGTCCCGGCGCCTTTGCCTTTCTCAGAACGTGAATAAAAATCAACACAAAGTTTGTTAAATCTTCGACGAAATCGCTTTAGAAAGTGCTTTTTACTTATATTAGCACCAGTATAAAATATTTGTAATTAATAAGCGCGATTAAAAAGGTGGCGGAGAGTTTATTGCCAGTTCTTCTCTTCCGTTCTACGCACTTGATTTGAGAACTGGCAGTAAATGTAAAATTAGAAGCATTTAATGTATATTTCTTTTTTTGACGTTCATAAGTGTAAATTGTGTTACCTATATGAATAAATGATTTTTGACTTTGAGTTTAAAACCTTACATTCTAAATTCATTACTTAGGTTTTATAGATATTAATTATCACTTCTAGATTTACATCGGTAAGCCGGACTTTGTGGCCTCGTGCAAAACAATAAGAAACATCAGAGACTATGTATAAGATAGAGACAGCGCTAAGTTCACCCATATGCCAAACTTTTTTGACATACGGGAGTCATGCTTAGCAAAGTCTCGACTTAAACCCTTTCCATTATGTTTTCTGATTCTTTCCCGCAAATAATAAATTAACAGTTTCTCCCAGCTTCGCATGGCTGGACACTTATATTACAAAATATTGTGGAATAGCCTATATTGCTCAGGAATAGTTTAGCATTCCTATGGTGAAAGAATGTTGAAATTGGTCCAGCAGTTTTAAGTTACTAACATTATTATATACTAATATAAGATAGCGCACTTAACCAAAGAAACTCAGCTTTAAAAATAATAATCTTAACATATGCACTTTTAATCTTGCCTGAAATCATAAGGAAAGCAATATTTTAGCTTAGGTCCTACTAGCCTATTTGGTCCTAAAAGGAACTTCTTTTACACATAAATGGTTTATTTCATACCTTACTGGTCCCATTCCTTCATAAAACTGATATTCTGCCTTATCCGTTGATATAATGGTCCAGCAGGCACCATCATTAATCATTTCTTTATTTGGTTCTTTGGGGCAAGGAGTCGCTTGAAACTGTATGATTCTTTCTTGTGATAAACAAAGGTACATCCTCTCGGTGTCCTTCATATAGAATGCACATTTATGTAGTTGTGAGACAGGGTCATCGGCCTCTAGCAAAGCCATCTGTTTGTCTACCTAAAAATACATAAAGATTAAGTATTCAGACAAGTTCTGTTTAAATTACTCAAAATTCGCTGACCAAAGTCAGTAAGTGAACAGTCAAAAGACTCCGAATATTTCAAAAGAGAAATTAACAATAGTATAATTTTATTTTAGGGCTCAGTAGTTAACGTGGTATGTATTATATTTCTGTTAATTAAAAAAAATTAAGTCACGCTATAATTTTTAGGACCATGACATGAAAGGTATATATATGTATATATATAACCCAGCTTCCCGATTTTAAAACCTATAGCAGTACACAAATTGAACAAAATTATTTTATTGCAAAATCTTACTAACCTATTCCCAACAAAAATACAATTAATGTAATCTCAAAAATTGCAAGAAATATTCAAGCATTAACTGGGGTAATCAAATGCCACCTTTAGGTATTTTAAGGGATAGAATATATGTCTTCAACAAATATATAATTAATTTTACTTTGTATTTATTATTTATTAAAAATATTTTTACAAAAATTTATGATGATATTGATTGTTCCTGTTAAATTTAGTTTAGGCCCCTTACTGGGTTTTAAAATGAGTGAGAAGCTGAGTTACTGGTTTTTATTTCTGAATAAACATTAAAGTTTGAAGGCAAATACTGATTAATAAATAAAAATATGAACCACCAAATGATATCTATATGTGTATCTGTTATATTGGGTAGTTTATTAAACATTTAACACATAAAACTAACATATGTTTGCTAGAAATAATCAAATTTACTTCAGCAGTTAAGCATCTAGTGTAATTATTTTTACTATTAATTAATTACAGAACTTTATTTAATAAATTTAAAATAATTTTAAATTTTGCAGATCTATAAAATAGGTATACAAATCTTTTATTGAATAAATAATTTACCTTTCTTATTATTAATCTAGGCAATGCCATGCCCGTCACAGAACAAACCAGCTTCACTGTTGAGCCATAATGTACATAACCATCTCTGACAGCAAACTCTTCTGATTCACTCTCATTATCATCTAATAAATGAATTGTAAAAGCACCCCACTGTGTAGAGGATGCATGAAAATTACCATTCTCTACATGCAGGTATCTTGTTGAAACAGTCTGTGACCTTAATCTATTAAACAGGGCAACTTTTGTACCACTCGCTATACATAAATCAGCATTCTTCAATGATTGCTTCTTTTTAGACGGCTTAGAAATAACTTTTATTCTCTTACTATTAAAAATACCAATATCATGACCATTGCCATAGAACATTTTGACAGATAACATAAAATGTTTTCTCTTATCTGAATCTGATATGTACAAGGTTTTAGCAGCACAGTACTGTTTTCCATTATTTAAATCTAGCTGCTGCATATCCTGGTCTGAGTTCCCTATGCCAATGAATGCACAAAGCTGTGATGCTTGCTCAGTTTCACCTTCTCTGAGCATTCTTTCCCTTCTCAGTCTCCATCCATCACCAAAGAGATAGATACAGGGAGGCGGACAAAAGAACCTTTTCTCATTACCATAGGATTTTTGAGCTACTTTAGCATGCAGGATAACTACAACCATATCAGATCGGTCCCGGAGATATCTCTCCATAGCTTCTCTAGTAAGGCGGCGTTCTTCGGGGCGATAGGCGCCGGCGCCAGGTCCCGCTGCTGCGGCATAGCGCGGGTACAAGGCGCCTGGCTGCGGCGGCGGGGATGGTGGGCGCCCGCCCAGCCCACCAGCGCCCGCGCCGTATTGATGTGGCATGCTAGCCACGGCTCACTTTCACCTTAATTTGCACCTCATAACGCTGCACACCATAGAAAAGCCTTGGAAAACATCATCACCTTTGATAAAACACTGTCCTATACCTACACTTCATAGCGTTTAGTAACAACCGGTAGCTAGTTTTTAAAAGTACAACTTTATTAAGTTATATCACTGATGTCATTAAAAACGCCACTATATAAGGGTAATGTTATATACACTGGAGTCTGGATCGATACACTTTTGTACAATTCACAACACAGTAAATAAATAATTACGATGGGAACAGCAACACACTTTTCTATCAAAAACACCTGTTCCTGAGTGGAATTTTCAGATTCGTGTTTTGACGAATTAACTGATTAAAATTATTTTTTTATTTATAGTTTCTAGTTTATTTTAATCATTATTATTGCACTTTACAAATTTTTTGTTTGATAATGTTAAATGTTTGCAAAACGTTGTTTATTCAAGTAAATACGACATTCGATTCGACAACGCTAGGTAACTGTCAAGAGGGCATAGACTGTAGACCGATTCACGAAGGGATGTTCAAACTTCAAGCACAAAATATCGACGCGCTGTTTACATGCGCACGAGAATAGCGGAATGATACGAGATCGTCGACTTTAGCGTGCCGACTGGCAGACAGCCGGTCATAGGATGTGGGGTTACGCATGGGGCGTGAGAAAATAAAGTGTGGGAAAGAGTGGGCGTCGCGTAGTAAAACATTTGATATTGTATGTAGTGAAGCGAACACTTACGAATGCTCCAGTAGCAAGCAGTTATCATTTCGTTTTGTTGTTGTGTGTGTTATAAATACATTGAGTTCAGTGGAAGCGAAAAGGTTGCGCTGTGTGAGGAAGAGGCCGGCGATTGACCGTAGATCTCGTGGGAAACGACCTTTGTTATATTATATACTGCATTATTTATATTTGAAGTTTAATCAAAACAAAATAATTTGGAAACAATTATACTTAGCAATGGGAGTTACTGGTTTATGGCGACTTATTGAGCCGGCAGGGAAACCAGTGCCAGTTGAAACTCTAGAAAACAAAATTTTAGCTGTTGGTATGAAAATTATATTTTTATTACAATTTACATAACTAACCTTTCTGTTCATTCATTCGGGGTTCCCAACAGTCTTAGAAAATGTGTTTAAATTTTACAGATATTTCTATATGGTTGCATCAGATGGTCAAAGGATACCAAGATGCAAAAGGTGCACCACTACCAAATGCTCACCTTGTAGGATTGTTTCAGAGATTATGTAAATTATTATATTTTAGAATTAAACCTGTATTTGTATTTGACGGAGGAGTTCCTGATTTAAAAAGACAAACTATTGTAAGTTATCTGTCTATTTCTTACACTTATTCCAAAATTATTATTACTTGATGATGTAAAAATATCTTATTCTAGGCTAAAAGACAAGATAACAAGTTAAAGTACAACTCAGAATCAGAGCGCATAAAACGAGAGCTTGCTCTATTAATTGGCAAAAAATCTGCTGTGGGTGCACTCCTGGGTAAACAAATATCTCCCAAGAAAATCAATACAAATGAAAATGATGAGGATATCTTTAAATTACCTGCATTGCCCCAAAAAGAGACAGAAAGTGACACAGAGTATGTAATTAATGTTGATTAAAATAGAATATTTAATTTCCTAACAAATAAATCTTGGACTTTCTGATTTGATTAGATCAGATGATGAAGATACCTCAAGCGCTTCCACTGTTGACTTACACACCGTGGATTTGGAATCTCAAGACTTCAAAAACATGCCATCTAAAGAAAAATATGACCTTTTATTGGAATTAAAAGAGACAAGGAAAATGAACTCATGGGGAAAATTACACACATTACCAAAGAAAAGTGATAGCTTTTCTGATTTTCAGGTTAGTCTTTTCTAATAAAACTATATATTTATAAACAATAAAGATTATAGATTATATTATGATTACAGATGCAAAGATTGTTGAAGAGAAGAAAGGTGCAAGAATGTATTGAAGAAACAGAAAAAGAAATAGGAGACGTCGGAATGTCTTTAAATGATTTGGAAACACTACTTAATGAAGAAGGTATTAATACAAATATTGAAGATTTTCCCTCTCGTCGTATAGCTTCAGATCAAACAACTCGGTATCTGCTAATTAATAATGTGAAACAGGCTTTAGCTGATGCTAAAAAAAAGAAGGAAATGGAGTTGGAAAATGAAAATAAATTAGAAACTGAAGCAATTAAGATAAAAGATAATTCAAATGGAGAAACTAAATTTGATGAACTTGAAGATGACTTACAGAAAGCAATAAAAATGTCTCTAGAATGTGTAGATGAACCAGAACATTCAGTTTGTGCTTCAACTTCAAAAGCAGATGAGTCTTGGACTTCTTGTATGACAGATTCTAATTCAGATTATTCTGACGAAGAAGAGGAATACATACCCCAAAATATTACATCTGCTAAAGCTTACATAATGCAGTACAGTGATTTTACACATAAAGCCATTGATGATATTGTCCTGGTTAAAAATAAACAAAAACCCAAAGCAAAAGAAATTAATGTTGAAGAAATAATAGCTCAGCTTAAAAACGAAAAAACAATTATAGAGGATGAAGTAGAAGTAAGTAGCGAAGAAGAATTAAGTAATCCTCAAATGTCAACCTCTTGTTTTATGATTAAGAATGATATTGATGACAATAATGCAGACCCAACTTTAGGCAACACAACTATTAAGGTTTTGCAAAGAACAAAAAACAATGTTGTCAATAATGATTCATCTATTTTGTATGTGGAAAATAAAAAGGAGGATGTGATAAATCTTGATTCATCAGAAGAAAATTCAAAAGCAATCATAAGTCTAGATGATACTTCAAATCTATCAAACTCTAGTGATGATGACTTTGAAGAGGTATCTGAAACAGAAAGCCTACCAAAACCAGTTGTGCAGTTGACATTAAATTTAGAAGATAACATCGAAGATGATATCTTTTCTGATGTTTTTGAAAATAAACAAGAGGTATCATCTAAAAATGGAAACCAAAATTTGTCACCTATAAAAACGCAACAAATGAAAGAGGCACCTTTAAAAAATGTTAGCGTTCCTCCAATAAATGAAATAATTGCTCCAAAGACAGATAAGGAAATGGCACAAGATAAAGTAAGTGTCAAAACCGATAAACTAATAAACAATACAAATAAAGATATTGAGTGTAGGAAAGATAATCAATCTACGGCTGAGAGTGGTGTAAACATTGAATATGAGAAAGAAATAGGCGACTTAGCGGGAGAGTCTTCTGAAACACCTAAAAATCCCATTGAACCTATTACTAAAGAAAGACTACAAACAATGGAAGTGGAAATGGAAAATGAACAACAAGAATTATTACATCAAAAAGGACGGCTTGATCGCGTTGGTAGAAATATTTCTGAACAAATGACTAAAGATGCGCAAGAACTTCTTCAAGTTTTTGGCATTCCTTATATTGTAGCGCCAATGGAAGCGGAGGCGCAGTGCGCATTTTTGGAGGATGCCAAATTGACCGATGGCACGATTACCGACGACAGTGATATTTGGCTATTTGGAGGAAAAACTGTATACAAGAACTTTTTTAATCAGAAGAAACATGTTCTTCAGTTCTTGAGTGAAAGGATTGAGAGATCGTTTAGTAAGTACAATTTTATTATTTTATCAGGCACATACTTTTTACGCATACAAAATTGTACACACTGTACAATTGTAACCAGAATCCCAAGACAATTTTTTTTTTTTTTAAAGTTCAAAAAAAAATATTAATTAGATTCTAACAATACTTATTTTTCCTTAGCCTTAGTTAAGTTCGGTGGTGGTTGTTGGAAGAATGTCCAAATAAATGAAACTTTGTTTGAAGCTATACTCTGATTTTTAATTCCGTAGAATTCTGACATTTCTATAAGTGTTGCTACTAAAAAAGTTCTCCACCAAAAACGGGTCAAATTTGACTTATTTGAGGGCAATAAAAAAATGTTACGTATTTTTTATGTTTTACCTACAAAAAGGTAAATCTAAATATTTACTTACTCAAGTGACCTAATACAAAAATAACACATATTTAAATATCACGAATAATATATCGAATTAACTTTAATTCCTACTAATTCCAGGTTTAGTAAACCTATTTAAAAATAAAATGTTATCTTTACTTGAGCGTTTTTTACGGTTTGTGATGAAAAGTTACGTAATTGTCACTTGCCGTTAAACCATGGATAAAATGGATACATTTACTAACAAATAAGACTCGGATGTTCAGACTCGTATTGGTATTGAATGTGCACGGCCAAAAAGGTTTGCCATCTCTTACATGTCAAAAAATGATGTGTCAGAATTCTACGGAATTAAAAATCAGAGTATAGGTGTCAATTTACTTTAATCGTTTCAAACAAGGGCCTATAACATAAAATTAAGGTAAAACTTATATAGGCTTGCATATTAAAGTAAGAAATTTTTTAGATCTAAGTAGGGAGCAACTGATCCTGCTAGCCCTATTAGTTGGAAGCGATTATACAACTGGTGTCAACGGAATAGGACCAGTAACTGCAATGGAAATACTTGCATCATTTCCTTTTAATAAGAAAAAACTTAGTGAGATGTCAAACCAAGCACAGTACCAGCAAATTGTGACTGGTCTTCAAGAGTTTAAGCAATGGGTTCGAGCAGGAAAGAGAACGGATAATATTAAGCTTAAGAAAAAATTAAAAAATGTATCGCTCACTGATGAGTTTCCTAGTATTAGGGTAAGTTTAAATAACATTGAATTATTTTACATCTAAAAAGCGGCTTAATGGCACGATATATTTTTAATCAAGACTTATTGCTATGAAAAAATTTTTTAACTACGGAAGACATACTTAGCGCTAAGACTCGAATTGTATCCTTAGACACCAGCCAATACTATAATTCCGTCTATATGACCATGAAATCGCTGAATACTCGAATTTTTGAAGTGAAAACTTCTTTAGCGGATTTGTACACTTTTTTTGGAATGGGTAAAAGTGTGTCAAACTCGCGTCAGGACACGTGACCTGATCGAAAATTCGTAAGATGGATGGAGAGTAGACAGATGGCGCGGCGTATTTAATGTAATATAAATTGTCATGTTTGTGTACGATAGCGCAATAAATAAATATTGTATTCTACCACATAAATGATAGTACTTTTATACTGATAATTAAAGCAATTCGTGCAAAACTATTCCCTAACGGTTCCAAAATATCAAAAATGCACAACGTTAATATTCAAGTTTTCACTTCTGCCGGCAATCCCGGAGTGCAACCCGTCGGTTTTTTTTAGATATTTAAGCGTAATAAAAAAGCAGAAAAATATTTTAATATTTAAATTTTCAGGTTGTACAAGCCTATCTAGAGCCAAATGTTGAAAAGAGTAAAGAAAAGTTCACATGGGGAAATATAGACATAACAATTTTACGAGATTACACAAAAGATAAATTTGGTTGGTCCCAAAACAAAGTAGACGAAATAATAAAGCCGGTTTTAAAAAGGTTGCTCGATAGAAAAAATCAAAAAACGGTCCACGACTTTTTTAAACGGAAAATCGTGTGTGAATCTCTCGACGAACAAATGAGCAAACGAGTTAAGGCAGCTGTACAAAAAATGGAACCTAACTCACAAAATGACGTTGAAGATGTTACTAATAAAAAGGATAAAAAAGGAAAACCCGCTCGCAAGAGAAAAGCTGAAAATGATGAGCTCAAAAATATTAATGGAATCGTAAAAGTAGCAAAGTCCGACGAAAAACCGGAATTTAACTTTATCGTACCAAAAACCGACGCTTGCCATGAATTAATTCCACAAAAAGAAAAAGCTAAACAGAGCCTTTTAGAGAATAAAATGAAAGCGATAGAAATATTTAGAAAGACGAAAATTGATAGAAAACGAAAGTATACAAAAAAGAAGACTGTCTTGCCAAAGGATAAAGCTGAGCTTTCCGAAAGCAGTGACAGTAACTAGAAGTCTGGTGCTTTAAAAGAGTGACTCACATTGTACCGTTCCCGATTAATTTGGATCTGAGAACACAAGCTACTTCGTACCTGTCTACCAGATGAAGGTAGTGGAAAATAGGAAACTAACTTAGAGGAAGATAATCAATAATAACTTAAGATACATAAATAAATAGATCATAATAACTTAACAAGAATGAATGCATCCTATACTTTGGAAATTAAGCTGTTTAACCTTTAAAATATGATAAGGTTAGACAATTTATGATGTTGAAATAAAGAGCAGTTATAAAATAATCAATTTATTGTTTATACAACTTCAATAGTTACAATATGAAGCATTCTCGAACTAGTTACCTTAAAATATACACACATAGGTTAACTAAAGATAAAAAAATTAATGAATCACTATAAACATAATGAAACTAATCAACTAAATGCAATTGCCTAGACAATGTACTTAAGAACTTTTATTATAGGCAACAAAGGTTTTGCTAGATTCTAATGAAGTCTAACATTGAACCATTGTCTAGATTGGAAATTAAAATACATTATTTTAACACCAAATATCGATTCTTAAGTACTATCTATAATCTAGTAGGTATCTATGAAAAACGTGGCGTTGTGCATACTTTCATAGATTTTAAAATATTTACATTCGAAATTTGTTACTGTCGAAATAAGGTATACATCAACCAATTTTTTGTTTAATCTTGAGCTAAAGTTGTCTCTGGTCTCGGCCATCTTGAATCGGAATTGTCAAAATAATATGTACAAGCCGTTCACATTAGTTGTGTAGTGATAATACATATGGAGGATAATAAATCTATTAGAAAATAATGACTTAAGGTAAAATAAACTATTCGGTCGCATCGACGTGTCAATTTTATCACCACTAAGCTGTTTTCACTAATAACGGAATAAACTTTAAAAAAATTTAGACAAGTATGTCTCCGGACGGAAACATTACAATAGGACTAATGAAGTGTTTTATTTTTCAGGTTTGTCAACCATAGATATATTAACTAATATAAGCATGTCAAAAGTACGCTAAGCTTTCGACAATCTCGCGTCTATTGTTTATTGACATCGCTTAACGTCATGAGCTTCTGAATTAAATGAATCATTTTAGTGCAAAAGTTAGTAGTATTTTCTTAAATATTACAAAATGTGTTCATCTTTTTCTAACACGTAATACGATACGAGAAATAGCTCTAACAACCAATACGTCATAAGTAGAAACAAACACATATATTTTTTTCATTTGACATTATTATCTATATTCCTCTAGAATCTATATTAAACATTGACAGTGACAATTGACAATAGACCAAGGCAAAATAAATTCATATCAATCCCGCTTTGTAATTCAGATATTAGTGAAAACAGCTAATCGCTTACCATAAAGTTAAAAAGAGGAAAGCTAATTTATATATAATTTTATAAACAAAAGCAATGACCTTGTACACCGAATATAAATTAAATTTAAAATACATAATATAATAGAAAATAAGTATGATAATGCTGACTTATTAAATAAATACTGTTTATAGAATTAAAATTGTTAGTGATGACATGTTTTAATTATTAACAAAACGCATTTTTAAATTGTGTAATTTAACCATATTTATATTTTACCGAAATCAGTTCAGCAGTTAAGTCATGAAAACGCATTGAAATCTTATATTAAAATCAGTTGTGTGGTTAAAGCGACGTATAAAAAGTTGCTTTGCTTTTGAGTTCGATTTCTCTCAAAATATACCGTCGGGTATAACCCGACATAGCATTATTAAAACCAGCGTTATTAATTACTTTATTATTTCAATAACGGTAACCATGATAACAAATACCTTACGTCCACGTTTTACTACAAGGCCGAGTGAATCCATCCCACCCTTTATATACAATTCGTGATATTAACCCCGAGATACAGATACCGGCGAACTTCTTGAGCATTAAACAAGGGAGTGGGGGAAAGTTTGCGCATCTGAGATACAAACGTCAACTGATTTACCAATCACGTGATCGATACACACTCTCCGCCGCCGCGCACCACCGCCCGCCCAGTGATACCTAAATAATAGGTTCTGCGCAGGCAAGGACATTTGTTCAAGATGTTTGCCGGTATCTGTACTAACATAGACTATGGTTAGCGGTTTGTAATTTGGCCAGACATTACGCCTTTAGTAAGGAAAAATACTGTCCATCAAATTATGGCGACCAAGTTATTTGGCAGAAATTAGTGAGAGGCTAGCTTTCGACTCCGAATCTTACACTTAGGTAATATTTCTCCCATATGACAAATAACATTACAATTTTGACGATTGTTATCGAAAATATCGGGAAATTACCAGAAAAATAGCAAAAAAAATCAATTTGTAACCAATTTTATTTTAATGAGCCAAAATTATCCAAACAAAATCCTACAAAAATTTTTAGACTTTTCATAATTGGCGTGCCTCCAATAAAGTGACAAGCAAGGCTTGCTTAGCGCTAATTCAAGACTCAATCTTAGAGACTATCTCATAACCGAGACTATTCATTCAGCCCGGGTAAATATAGATTAACCTTTACAAATATAGGCTTTAGATTGTTTTTATTATTTTCATACATATGAATAATAGGCACATAAACAATAATACTTTATAGATTTTGAATGTCTCCTACCAAAAATATGTAGCGATTGAATTAAAAAAAAATTAAAAGTTTCGTCTATTTTTATTTTTATGATTTAACTTTATAAATTACAATACACCTACGGCTTGGATAAAGAAAGATGTCACACAACTGCTACCATAATGTTGACTCCGGAACATCTTAATCAACCTTAACAACACTGTATATCTTCCGAACAAACCAGAAGCAAGCCATAAAACCAATAGTACCTGTTAGAAGGAAGAACAAAAATACCATTATCGTTGTATACCCAAAGTAGAGGAACGTAGAGACAGCATCCTCAATATTCAGTTTTGTGACGAAGTAGTGGCAGCAGTATATGAAGAGGTAGCCAGCGGTGGACCCAGAGCTGAGGAAGGCCCTCCACCACCAGTGGTAGTCTTCGGCGCACAGGTGGAAGTAGCAGAGGAGGATCGTGGTCTCGGAACAGGTGATTACCAGAATCATGAACACGAGGAAGAGGAAACCGAACATGTAGTACATCTGAAAATATACAATTGTTTTAATTTCTAATTAATTTGCGATATTTGTTTTAAAATAAGTGTTGTTTGATGATTTGCTATTTTTAAAGAGTACCGAGAGTTTTTTACGCCGGCTTTTTCTCTCGGCCTACACCCTCTGCCTTCTTTGCCGATGAGTAGTGATGCCTACCGATTCAAATTTAATGACGTGGAATAAGTGATACCTGTATCTTATATTCCATAATAAACATATTTTAAACAAGAATTTTTGGAATTTCTGATTTTTGAGTAATGTTAAAAAATATGATGTAGATACCCTATCTTAATGAAAGAGAAAAATAAATTAATTTATAAGAAAAACTATTATTAAAAAAAGCCACGGAAAATAAAAGCTTAGAACAATACATAGAGAAACTTCTTAATAATGAATATCATGTCAAACATTGTCTTATGATTTAATAAAGACACATTAAAGCTTAAAAATTGGTAAATTTACTGACCTGGCTGGACCATAGAGAATTGAGAATAAAGAACAATTGAATAAAGATGCATCCAAACGGCAGAACTCCTCCCATTATGATCCCGGGAACGGGTTGAGTGTAGAGAGACTGTTCGGGAATTTGACGAGGGATTTGGTTCGTACGCACAGGGTGGTCTAAAATCTGTGGGAATTAAAGTTTTGAGTGTATTCTGATATAAAAAATAGTTACTCAATTTGTTTATAAAAGACAGAAAACGCAGTTGAACAGAGCTGATTATTGGCCTGCTATATTTTTATATACCTAAATTTAAATTAGTTTAAGAAGTCCCAAAAATTTGGCCTTTTAAATATATTGCGAAAATGGCCTGCTCAAAATACTTTTACCTATAGTCTGATTTTTCATTCCGTAAAATTCTGACGTTTCATAAGTGTTGCTACTAAAATAGTTCTCCACCGAAAAATGGACAAAATTGACTTATTTAAGGGCAATAAAAAAAAATGCTACGTATTTTATGTTTTACGTACAAAAAGGTACATCTAAATATTTACTTACTCAAGTGACCTAATACAAAAATAAAAAATATTTCAATATTACGAACAATATATCGAATTAACTTTAATTACTTTATTTTATTCTTTAGCTGGCATCACTGCCTTCTAATTCCAGGTTTATTAAACCTTTTTTAAAAATAAAATGTTATCTTTACTTGTGCGTTTTTAACTGTTTGTGATGAAAAGGGACGTAATTGTTACTCGCCGTTAAACCACTTTTAATGTGGAGCACCGCACTTAATAAAATGGATACATTAACTAACAATAAAATGTATGTATAGACTCAGATGTTCAGACTTGTGCAAAATATTCCCGGCCAAAAAGGTTTGCCATCTCTGACATGTCAAAAAATTATAGCTGTCAGAATTCTACGGAATTAAAAATCAGAGTATAGATATATCCATTGACCTATTATGTTTTTACCTGGAAGTTATGCAATTAAGTTAACAAAATCTGTAAATATGTTCGGGAGACTTTAGGGCCTAGGCTAACACTGAAGACATAAATAATAACTTACCCTCTTCCTAAATCCAAAGTAGGCACCGATAAATGTTAATGGTACTGAAACTCCGAACCACAAAGCGAGGAGAGCCACAAGAGTCGAGAAGGGAATTGCTGCCGACGATCCCTTACCCCACAGCACTAGGTTGAGGATGAAGAAGATCGAAAAGACCACCCTGTACAAAAGTAACAATGAAATTCGTGGAAAACATCTTTATTCTAGATTATCTATGCCTATTGTATTGGGGAAGGCTCTAATATATATGTCAGGGAATGTTATGAGACCATTGGTTTTCATTGTTGGTTAATCATTAAGATTTCTTCTATAAATACATATATCTAATTAATAAAATTTAAGAAGTTTGGTCCCGTGGCAGCGGTACCTAACGCTGGCAACATTTCCTTGCTGTATTGCGATACTTAATCGTTGAGCGAGGAAAGCACCAGCTCTGGGGTCACCGATACTATCTAACAGATGCCAACTTAAATCTGTAATTAGCGCCTGTGCACTTGAACCCCGGGCCGAGAGGGTATTCCAAAGGGAACAAATTCGGACTTGGAGGAAATACTCTTTTATTTGAGCCGTATGATTTCTTCTATTATTTTTAAGAATGACAATTTAATTATTATTGTTTTGATATTATTTAAAATTGTTTTATAATTTATTTCTTAACGAATAAAAGTACGAATATTGTTATAACCAATCAGAGCAGAGGAAATGCCTCGAGTGGGGTCGAGGCGCCATCTTGATTTTTGACAGGGCGTACATGGTCGCGGTGTTCTGATTGAGTATTCAGTGGTGCATTATGGATGAGGCGTTGGAATTTAAGCCAAATAGATTGTGATTAAAAGTTTGATAAGTATAATCTAAGCTAAAGTGTTATTTGTAGTGTTAAAAGGACTGATTTTGAATCAATCTAAATGAAATACTGTACGATAATTATTCGTGTATTTTGTGCTCGCAGTTCACCCACATGACGCTCACGAAACCAGCTTATGTCAAAATCGATAAAGACGACATTTCTGTGACATATATAATTATCACGATTTATTACCACTCACGTAAAACACATTAATGGAATTCTAAACTGATTTTAAGTCTTTACGAAATATGAAACAGAAAATCTAAGTTGTGATTTTATTTATTTAATTATTATAAATCGAATTCAAAAATCATTTAATCATATGGGTAACACATTGTACACTTATGACTTTTCAGTAAAAATATACATATTAATGCTTCTAATTTTACATTTAGTGCCAGGTCTCAAATCAAGGGCGTAGAACGGAAGAGAAGAACTGGCAATAAACTCGCCGCCACTCTTTTTAATCGCCATGTTTTTTTTTACACAACGTTTGTAAGGAGCTGCATCCATTAAACCATATTCCACATGACATCTTAAGTAATTAATAATAATAACTAGTATTGTCTTTGATTAACATAACGTGAGTCACCGTGACCACGCACGCTGTAAAGCACGCGAAACGTCGGATAAATTTAAAATTATGTTAAATAGTTGTAAATTTATAATAATACATAACTTCAATCCGGTCAAAATAGTGTTTTATTAAATAATAATAACTATATATAGCCTCTATACTGCAATCGATTAAAAATTTATGGAAGGTATCAATCGATTTCCTGAAATTTTGCGTGTGCGCAATGAACCATCATTTTTCAATTACAATTTACGTGTTATCACATACCATTTTTTTTCTCTTTTTTTTAATGTTACAAGAAATGTTAAGTGATACTGCCCATGGACACTCGCACTGCCAGAAGGCATGTAAGCGCGCTGCCGGCCTTTAAGAATTGGTACGCTCTTATCTCGAAGGACCCTAAGTCGAATTGATTCGTCTTTTTTTTATATCCGAGGTGGAAATGTATTAGCGCATCCCCTGCCCTTAGAAGTTCCACGGGTATGTGGGACTCGACCCACACCAAAATCTCTGTTATTCAGAGACTGGGTGAGCAATTCCGACTAAAACCACCTCAAGTTCCTACAAAGCCGCGTTACAGAGGCTCCGGGGTCGCTGTCGCATTCTACCGGGACAAGCAATACTGGTCTAGGTTTCGCTCTTTTTTGATAAAACCCAATAATATTGCTATTAATAACAGTTAATCCATAGCATTCAATAACAAATAATACAGAGCCGTGGTTAGAATGTACGATCTCAGAGCTCAGCCCAGCTCAGGACTTACCCGGGACACAGCATGGACGTCAGCAGTATATTGCTCTTCCACCGTCGTCCCCCGAAGCTCTTGTAGATCCGTGCGCTGACGTAACCCGCGGCAGCTCCAAGAAGAACCCAAACAACTAGAGCGCAGGTCATCAAGGCTCCTCTATTCGCCGGTGAGAGGAATCCCAGGCAGGCAAAGGCTAGGGTCACTAGCGTCATACCGAACACCTGTAATCATTCAAAAATGTCATACATGAAGTTTTACATTACATTACAAGCAAATTTGTTTTAAAAACGTGTTGCTTGATGTCAGAATATGGTAACCATGGCAACAAACATGGCATCCGACATAATATGTGAAAATCTCAACTTGGGGGCCTCATAGCTTAGCGGTCTTATTAAGTGGCAGCTAGGTGAGGGGTACCGGGTTCGATTCCCGGTTCGAGGGCAAGTTTTAATTTAATTTAAATTTGTTCTCGGCTTTTGGGAGGGTAGTGCGGTACCAGGCGAGTGCTTAAACCGTACATGGAGGACATGGTCGAATTTCTAAGGCAAAAAGCACGAATTATAAAAATCTTATACTTGACGCTGGCTAATGCACAAACTGTGCCAGAGCCATAAAAAAAAAAAAAAACTCAACTGTGTATATGATTTGCTATTAATATATTTATGCACATATCACAAATGCTTTAAGTGAGAAATACACATGCATATTATAAAATTCTAACTAATCTGTAAGGATGTGGATTATAAAGGCTTCTTACAAGTTAAATAAACTATTTTAAAAACAATGTTTTATGTATTAAATAACAAAACTTGTTACCTGCGAACCAGATCCAAGGAATACAGCTAACAACATACCGCGACGAGGGGGTCTAAACACATCTCCATGAACTAACTTCCACCCAAACTCTTCCTGAAATAAAAACACACCATCAGCAAAGTTTACTAACAAATCTATCAAACTGATTGCTTTCAGTTGACGGTTTATAAGTTAATTTTTTGGAATGAAGACACATCTGCATCTTTGTTCTCTGACTTTTGTTTTCCTCATGACCACATAAATGTTTCTGCATCATGCCACAGCTCTTTTGGAATGTTAAGAAATTTGTTCTCCTATGACGCTTCACAAAAGATAAAATAGAAGATTGAAAGAGACAAAGAAAAATGTCTATCTCTGACCACAATTCTTATGGAACCATGGTCTCAGTTGACACTATGGTAAAAAGAAATTTTAAACTGACAGGAACATATGTTACGCTATATTTTGTCAATTCTTTTTTTTTTCTGTCTCTGCACTACTTTATTTAACTTCGATCTACTTAGTAGGACTTAAGACTAAATAGTTTTAAAACTACTTATTTACTAAAACTTTTTCATAAGAAAGTGAGACACTAGTTAGTCTTTATTAAAGGGAGGACACTGCGTTCTTGTGTTCTACTGGTTTCACTTAACGCTGTTTAGTACTTAAAACTAACATGCACTCACACTAATTTACCAATAAGAATGGTTTTATAATCTGTAATATATATACTTTGGTGATAGTTATTAAAAAAAAAATACCTGAGCATCTTCACCGCACTCCATCTGATTGTATCTCGCAATATCCTTATGTAGAGTTCGCAGCAAAATCATCGCAACCATACCACTTAGGAACAGAACGATCACAAGTGAATTTAATATTGAAAACCACTGGATATTCGTCTGTGGCATCGATTCAAGTATATAGTCCCATCTTGAGGACCACTTATTCGTATTGTTCTTAATAAAATGAACGCTGTATGTGTATGCTATGTTGAAGGTTTCGTCATTCGTTAGGGTGTTTGGAATCTCCAAAGGGCTCTGAATGGTGCAGTCGGGCTTTTCAGGATTTTGATGGTTGATACTTGTTGGTCGGACCTGAAATTGGGGGTTTTAAGCAATCTTTGTCCAAGGATTTTCATAAATCAGTGTTAAGTCAATATCAAATATTCAAAACGTTAATTAATGTTAGGCCGCCTGTGATGTTCATATATATTGATACATCAAAATATTAGACCATGTTGAAATAAAAATGTACTATGCAATGTTGGCAAGTGCCATTATTTATTTTGTTGCAATATAACCTTGATTTATGGACACCTGTATACAACTTTTTTTATATAATAATAAAAGTGAGATTTAATATTACTGAACCGAAAATAATTACATAATTTGTGAATCAACACTATTTTTTCTTTCATTGTGTGATGCATATGGACACCTGTATACAACTTCTTTTTCTTTATATAATAATTAAAAATGAGGTTGAATATTACTGATACGAAAATAATTACATAATTTGTGAATCAACACCATTTTTTCTTTCATTATGTCATGAATAATTCATTATTTTAATTAATGCATAATTCAACATAAGTTTCAAAATAATATTATTTCAAATAACAGATAATATTTGACCTTAATTAGAATAATTTTAGATAAGACCTTTTAAGTCAATAACTACATATTCAGAATATTTCCTAACAAGCAGAATTAAACAACAGTTTTATACTACTAAGCTTATCGAGCCAGTAACAAGTTGTTATTTTATGGTGACAAAGTCATATGTACATAAAATTATTAAGTTGCATTGTGTTATGCTGAATTTAATAAAAAAATTAGATAGTAAAGGCTATGAAATAGATTAAAAACCCTATAGAATTGATTTGTCATTTTTGCAAACTCAAGCTTTCTACATTTTGTCAGCTCTAACTCATAGCAGACTTTGTCAGCGGACATATGGAACAACCAGTGTTATCTAAGCTTACAATTTATTTCAGAAGTTTAAAACAAATATACATATTTTTACCTTCACAGAAATAATTCTACCACCATTCTCTCCAAATCCGACAGCCCACTCCTCAGTGCCACCACTGTGGTAGGTAATATCAATATCCACATGATTAAATAGATAGTATACTCCAAGCTTGCTTGGTGATGTATTTACAATTGGATTACAAGTATCCTAAAATTTAAAACATACTTATTTTCATTACCCTTGATAATTTACAGAATTACTCCAAAAATGTTGTAAATACAGTAAGTGATGCAATAGTTAGACTGTTTTAAGAATGCATGACAGGGCATTATTTTGAGATGTGTAATGTGTAATTGAATCACGGCCAAAGAAACCAAATAATATAAACCTTTTATATATTCTAGAAAATACTATTGAAACAAGAACCACTGGTTTGCTAGTATAGCTTTATTATGGAGAAAATAGTTTACCAGTGCTATAATGACCCAACAAGTACCAATGTTACATTTTGTATTAAAATAGCATATATATCCTTTAAATACTATACTAAATCCAAAAATCAATATTAAATTTATATATTGTATATATCCCTTCTGTAGATAGTATCAAATAATCAGATAACATAACATGTTACTGTCTACTATTAATATTTGTATTGTTTGATAAAAATAAATAATTTCTTCAAATCCCAATGTGAAATGATGAGACTTAAATATTAAGTACATGTAGCATAGCATGATGATTTTATCTTTTATTTTATTTTTATAATAATAATGAATAGACATTACAATACATTTTATAACACGGCTAAAAAACCTGATAGAGAAGAAATGTTAGGATATTTTTTACTACAATTCATTATAGATAAATATAGTGTTACCAACTTATCCTATTTATTAAGGCCTGTTGCCATATAATAAGCTGAGCAATACTAACTACTAACAATATTCTAGAAATAAATGTTGTTGTATATTGTTAAATGTCACTTAAAGATTATTATAGAACACAAAATATCTACTTACAAAATTTCTTCGTACTTGACATCCCATAGGGAAACCAGTACTGCAGTATGATTTCCCACCTTCATTCACAAGATAACACCAAGTCACTGGCATATTGTCTATGATCCAATGATGTTGATAGTAAAGAGCCATACCCATTTTCAAAAGATTAAGCTTTTTTGTAGATTCAGGGTCTGAGCCTCTATAAGTTTTAGTGCATAGATGCTGACATGTTGCATTTTCTAAAAAGTTTATTTTGTATGGACTCGGGCGAATTCTCTCCCCAAATACAACTTGACCAAGGTTCTCCACAGGCGATTGAGCTTCATTGGATAAACAAAAGTCAAAGTGGTGATATTCAAAGGGTATTACTGATTCTTCGGTGTTCAATCTATTTACATATAGTGGAATATCACTCTGAAATCAAATTTACAGTCAATTATTGGAAGCATTAAAAAAAATATTTATTATAGTCTTATTGCTATTCTAAGCAAGATAAATTAAATATGGAATATTAACTAGTTCTGTTAATGAATCATCTAATGTATTTTTATACGCAATGGGTTGTAAACGTGGTAAGTAATAAATTTCTATAGATAAGTTTTAGGTACACAATAAGTAGAGGTTTTACATACTTTACAAGACTTTCCGCTATCTTCGCCAATTTTGCAGTAGTTTACTGGGGCTAAGCCGGGTAAATAAAATCCTTTTACGGATGTTAAAACCCCTAAAATCCAGAGGCACAGCACGTACGGTACGGCCATAGTTTTCATAACACTTTGTGTTTCATTCACGTAAACGTTTTCCTCAATGCAAATGAATTTCTATTGAATAACGTTGTTGTTAAAACGGAGTAGCACCCGGGATACAACCCGGTTTAAGAAAAACAAATTCTACAAAATCTTCTGTACTCAGACGCAATTTGATAGTTAAAAATGGTAGACATTTGACTAACCGTAAACGTCAATTCGGTGTCGGTGTGGTAGAAAACGTCATCAAAATGACATAGTAACTTATCAAAACAAGATCGCAAACATAGATTATATATATAACCTATTGTTATCCTACATAACAATCATTTATCATATCACAAACTCGTCTAACTGATTACTGAACCCGCTTATGTATCATGATGGGTGCCGTGACACACAACGCGGACGTTATTAAGCAGCGGTATCAAATAATTGAGCGATTGAACATTAAATGGTGTAGTTGTGACTGACATTTTACTCCGTCATTACACAATGTAGCTGTACCCTCACCACGTATGATTCGGTAGTCGGTAGTGTATTTCTACTGTTGAAATTTTCTAGCTTAGTGTGCAATATGCTGTAAATATTCCCTTGTAGCGAATCGTAGATACGCACTTAAATGTAAATATTATTTTGTGCAGTATTTTCTATAATATTTTGATGTATGTGGCAACATAAATACCGGTCGTGAAGAAAAGAAGAAAACCAACCAATTAATTAAGATAAATATGGGTTGTGATTTATTTACAATGAAGAACATCCCATACCCTATTGTTACACTAACAAACATACCCTGTAGTTAACTATACTTCTTTGTAGTGGGCTATAGTAATAATGTACGCGGCAAATTCAATATTTTCATGTTACCCAATATGTCTTATAAATATAAACAATCTTCACAATAATCTCTTATTTACAGGGGTACCCGATGGGTGGTATGCAAGATGCTTTTTGCATTTTCTAAATGATTATGACAATAAATAATAATCAGAGGCGCTACAACCTTTTAGGTCTGGGCCTCAGATTTCTGAATCTGTTTCATGATCATTTTGCAATCAATTGCAAGGTGATCAACCTCCTGTGCCGGACACACGCCGTTGACTGTTTGGGTATAAGACATCGGTTTCATCACGATGTTTTCCTTCAACGTTCGATCAAATGTTAAATGCGCACATAGAAAGAAAGTCCATTGGTGCACAGCCGGGGATCGAACCTACGACCTCAGGGATGAGAGTTGCACGCTGAAGCCACTAGGCCAACACTGCTTATGACAATGAAACCGATAGTATTATTAAGATATAATATGAGGTTGAGTTTTGTGTGAATTTAATAATTTATATCTGAAAGAAACGTTATTAAGGTGTTAAATAAATAAAATAAAATAATTAGTAGTTCATTCAGCCATAAGATAATACATACACATTCGTCTTAAAAATAGTGGAAACTTGATTAAAACGATGAATTATGTACTATGCTTTATACATTTTTATTTACATTTACAATAACACCTATCTGTTAGCCACTTAGCTTACATTACGGACGAAACTCTAGTATAAAATTACATCGTGCATAAATCACATGCGACCTCTTTGATTATACAATTAGAAAATACGTTATGATTTACGTATCATTAAATTCTTATTAAAATCAGAAAAGTCCATTTAAGAAATACAAATTTACAAATTAGTTCACTGGCAGTTGACGAGTTCTTAAGGAATTTTTTTCTGGGACCAAAGAACCAGTATCTTGGGTCAAAGCGATTCCGCGTGCAAATGCTGAAATCAATCCTAATGCTGCTTGCGGTTTGTCTGCGGGAACCATATGTCCAGCGCCGCGGATCATAACTTCTGTCAGATTTCCCGCCATTTTGAAATACCTGTGATCAAGTAAATGTACATATAAAATATGTATCAAAGGTTAAAACCAATAATTTACAATTTTGTTCTAACGTAATAATGCGTGGCTAAATAATTTGATAAAAATAAACGAACAATTCAAAGCGTCATTATATAATTTCCATGAATACTGACTTTATGAAAAACGTTATATATTTATAATTATGTAAAATATTACCCAGCCAATTCTTCATTGTGGTACCAAGGATGTCGTTTTGCAAGCCGGTATTCTGTCGAACCGGAAAATGATAGGGCATCATACGTATTTACTGAAGGATGGTATGCAACAATAATGTCCAAGTGACCACTGAAAACATTTGATTAATATCATATCATACCAAAGATATTGGACCTCATACTATAGCTGTGAAACACAAATTTCAGAAAGCATCTATAAATATAATTATGACTTAAGGGCCTCATAGCTTAGCGGTCTTATTAAGTGGCAGCTAGGTGAGGGGTACCGGGTTCGATTCCCGGTTCGAGGGCAAGTTTTAATTTAATTTAAATTTGTTCTCGGCCTTTGGGAGGGTTGTGCGGTACCGGGAGAGTGCTTAAACCGTACATGGAGGACACGGTCGAATTTATAAGGCAAGCACGAATTATAAAAATCTTATACTTGACGCTGGCTAATGCACAAACCGTGCCAGAGCCATAAAGGAAAAAAAATATGACAACCAAGTGACATCGTTTCATTTCTAAAAAAATTGTCGTTTTAGTACTTTTCTTTCGCACGTTGGCGTTGTACACTTTTTTTGGAATGGGTAAAAAATGTTAAACTCGCGTCAGGACACGTGACCTAATCGAAAATTCGTAAGAAGGATGGAGAGTAGACAGCTGGCGCGGCGTATTTAATGTAATATAAAATGTCATGTTTGTGTACGATAGCGCAATAAATAAATATTGTATTCTACCACATAAATGATAGTACATACTTTTATACTGATACTTAAAGCAATTCGTGCAAAATTATTCCCTAACCATTCCAAAGTATCAAAAATGCACAACGTTAATATTCAAGTTTTCACTTCTGCTGTTAATGTACTCGATGACACTAAAAATACTTACTTATAAAGCATGACCCTGTAATTCTCTAGTAATTCTTCGAGCCAGTGTTTAGCGCTTCCCATAAAATCGGGGACTAGCTTTTTATACACAACACCGATGGATGTGAAATTTGTGTTTCCTACATGTAACGCTCTTCTGACGTCATCCCTTTGAATATAGTCTAAATAGGCACCATCCAGGCTAATTTCATCTTGAAGGTAGTTGTATAAGTTATTTAGTTTTGACTCAGACAGGAATAGTTGTAGTAAGTAGTTGTAATACTGAAAGGTGAATTAAAATGTGAAAATTGTTAGGTACGCTAGTAATTTTTTAAACAGCTCCCATATTAGTCCCTATTTATGATCTTTAGTAAAATTTATATCGGCATGTAACTTTCCAATATTTGGATATTTATTTTTATTTTTATTTAATTTTATTTTACAATTATGATTATTATTATTTATGATTTGGGATCGAGTGCGTTTCTGGCCTTTTAAAAATTACGCATTATTTTTTGGTAACAGGAGGTAAACGGGCGTAACCTTAACCTTTTACATTTTTCATTTTAATTATTTTTAAATGTAAAACTAATTTGCATCTTAGTATTGTATATATAAATATATGTTATTTTGACGGCAAATATTTTGTAACAGTGGTGCCTGTTAGGTCTGGGCCTCAGATTTCTGTATCTGTTTCGTGATCATCTGTTTTATCAAATTGCCAGAAGACTCGCAAGTGCGTTTCCGGCCTTTTAGTAATTAAGACTTTTTGTATGAAACAGAAGGCAAACGGGAAGGAGGCTCACCTGATGGTAAGTGATACCATGGACACTCATATTGCCAGAAGGCTCGTAAATGCGGTGCCGGCCTTTTAAGAATTAAGACTTTTTGTATGTAACAGGAGGCAAACGGGGAGGAGGCTCATCTGATGTTAAGTAATGCCCATGTAAACTCACATTGCCAAAAGGTTCACAAGTGCGTTGCCGATCTTTTAAGAACCTAAGTCGAATTGGTTCGATAATACTTTAGACATCAGTGGCAGCTGGTTTCACATAGCACATAGCGCGGCAAAAACTGCCTTAAGAAACGCTCAGTTGTGGACCGATGGACGTGGAGGTGATACGGATGGTGTTTGTTATTTCTCTGAACTTTATTCTTTTGAAGTTCGGAAATACACAATTGGGCAGCTGGGCAGCTACATGGTAGTGGAATGAAGGATTGTATGCCTGATATACTTACAGCATATGCCTTGAGCATTTCTCCATTGTTAATAAATTGCACCACCGCTGTTTCGATTTGGTTCATAAAATTCGCCGCTTTATCATCCACTAAACCAGTTTCACGAACGAAGTGGCTGTACCTTTGAAGGGATAATGGATCGATAAACCCGTTACCAATGGCGAGACCCTGTTAAAAACAATACATTATACAATATTTTGAAATGTAAAACAGTATTTACAATTTTCTTAACATACAAAGTAATAATAGAAATAATTATAAAGTAAAATAATAATAATCCGTGTCCATCTTAATATATATAAATCACGTGTCACGTTGTTTGTCCGCGATGGACTCCTAAACTACTTAACCGATTTTAAATTAAATTTGCACACCGTGTGCAATTTGATCTAACTTAAAAGATAGGATAGTTTACATCTCAATTTTTATCCGCAATATTATTGTATTACAAAATATTTGTTTATTATTTGATAGTCACAATTCTAACAGAAGGCGCTGTGTTGAAAGTACCCACGTTTCACATAAGCTACAATTTAATGGCATAACCACCAAAAAAGCATGGTGGTCCCCATGACTGGTGTTCTCCTACCGTTTCCCTTGAATAGTTTGCTACTATGTAATATAACAAAAATCTTAGCCACAGCAACGCTTGGCCGGTCTGCTAGTTAATTATAATAATTAAGGGTACAGTGCCACAGGGACCAAACTTTGATTTTCATTTTAATTATTTTTAAATGTAAAACTAATTTACATCTTAGTTTTGTATATATAAATATATATTATTTTGACGGCAACTATTTTGTAACAGTGGTGCCTGTTAGGTCTGGGCCTC